ATTACTCGAACAAACATTCTACTTTTTGTTCTCGGTGTACTTTGAAAAAATCAAATGAAATATTCCAAGAAAAAGAATCGCAGTCGCTCTTTTTCATTCAGCTGCATCAAAATTCCGACCAAAACAAAGAAATGAATTGAAGAAGGCAAAATACAAGCAGAAAAGTGTATAATTACTTCAATGATGCATTAAAAATTAGCTGCATTGCATAGCGAAAGAACTGACTCGATAGCGGATAGAGGAAAAACGGGCATGGATGGCTCTCCAAATTCACTTGCTGTTAGCAGAGCCATACTAATTGAAGGATGGAAAATCCCTATTCCAGCGATCCGGATGCGTCATCGAGAATCAACACCCGTGTACTTTCCAAACAAGAAGTGACTGTGTTATGAAGTCAAGTTATGGTATGCACAGATAACGAAAGCGACAAAATAAGGAACAGTTCGAATGCCGAAAAAACAGAACGACAGAATAACTTGCACAGGCTTTTTGAGTAATTACATACCGCTCCTTGAGCCATTCGAAATGTCATCTACAACATCAATCTTTATGCTTCTTTAACAATTCATACCACTCTCAAGTTACATTTCTTAGCGAAAAAAAGAGCAGGTGACAAAAAAAGTGGGAATGCAATGTAACAAACGTATGCATTTTGATAATACCTGGCAAGAATATTTGAGCAGAAAAGAAGTGGAATAGCGTTTCCCTCAGTGAGTTTAGCTTAGGCTGTAAGAGAAAACACAGAAAAGTGCGTCTGATTCTGGCATAAAATGAGCTACGTGACGATAGCGGCTCAGCAAAAGATAAGCAAGAAACCTTGCGAATGCGTTCATCAGCCACCGAAACGATAACAAAGTTGGCAGCCTGCTGAAGCTGTGCACGCATTATCCTCACGTGCTTCCTAGCATACAAGTATAAACGCGTATAGAGAAGCACCATCATTGTCGCCGGGATGAAAAAGCTACACATGGAACTGCCGAGCGCATAAGGCGGCTTCAGCCGGAGTTCGCACGCTGGCTCGGATCTGCAACTATTCTTGATTGTTACCTAAACGAACGATAGATACTTTTTCATTTCAAATACTGAAAGCGAAAAAGCAGTGAGGAACAGCTGTTCCTAAGAAATTGCACTATTTGATATCGAAAATCCAACGTATCCTTACGTGAAACGTTAGCGTTCTTGATAGTTGGATTCAAATTTATAGAATCGCACATTAACGGAAAACAACCTCCAACAACATTAGCCTTCTGTTTGATCTAGTCTCCGGACGAAAAATTTTCCACATAAAGCCAAATATACCTGTTAGTTTTGAACTGATCAAGGGCGACCACAACTTCTGCTTCCTGAGCATTTTCCACATTTCTCTGCGCTAATTCAAAGATTATTTGCGTGATACCAATACTAGCAGAAATTAGCCAAACAAAAGCTATCGCAATGCATATCTTCCGTCTCCTGAAAATATCAGTGTGACTAAGGCCTGGAAAATTGACCTCAGCTTGGTTCAGGCAACTTGTCGTGGCTTTGCAGACATAACCGCACACTCACCACTAAGGATAGTGAAGATCATACGCTGATAATTTTTAGTAAGAAAAATCTGCGCAGAAATCACCATCAGTCTCATTATCATGTACCACGTAAAAAAAGTACAGCCGCTCAGGAACATGCAGTTGAACCAAATCCTCTAGTAGATATTCCATACACTTCTACGCTGCCCGGATTTTTTTGTTTCCAATGACTGATGATTACGGGAAATTCAAACCGTCTTCAGGCTCTTAATCATCGCCGAAGAAGGAACCATCGACAGCCCTGCCAGCAATAGACTGCTGTTAGCTAACTGCTACCAGTCACATCAATTTCAAGCGACTCTGCCTCACGGAGAATGGAACACGTGGAAGAACATGCAGACTACAAATGCTGCTTTTATCCCTCGACGGAGGCTTATTTAATTTCATATAGCTCAGTATCAATGAGTTGATCTAACTTTATTCAGACCATCATTATCTTCGAAACTTAATTTATAAAGCAAGGAGAACATTAATATATTATGTAAAAGATCTGCCCAGACACAAATTCTTTTCAAGTAGTTTTTCTTTAGACTTTGATTCCGTCGATGAGACAATCAAGCCCGCCATCATCTTGTTTCTGAGCAATTCTCGAAAAGGAAGCCATCGACAGCCTTGCCAGCGAGTGGTAGCTATTTGCACCGGCTGTCACTTAGATAACTTTCCAAATGCTTCCGTTTCTCAGATGGAACGAATACAAAGGGGTTTTGAAAAAAGCAGTAGAGTACGCAAGAACTTTTCAACTTTTGCGACGAAGTGTTATCCTTCAGTTCACTGACGGAATTATACAACACTAGCCAAGTAGTAGAAAATGACTGTCAGTGTAGGTCTGTCCTCTAGTCATAGAGCTTTTGCATTTGGAACCTTTGGAATTAGAAATAAGTCTGAAATAAAGTAATAGTTACTTTATATAAACAAGTGGTCGGCTGATGTGCCAAAACCGATGTACCGCAATTGCAGAAAGATTAAGTATGGAAGCTGTGGTGCAAGTGATATCACAACATATCCACAGCTGACAATATAGATGGCCAAATGGCCAATAGCCAAGAATATCGTTGGCAGCCGCGAACGACATCACCTAGAGAGCTCTTAAATTTAAAGCTCTTAAATTTAAAATAAAATCCCATAACTGATATCAAAGTTTTTGGAAGTACCTCAAAATAATAAAATTGCTTGTGAGAAGCACCACAGCAGTAATCACACCTATGAAAATTGATAGTAAAGCTCACTAGAGAATTGGCGCAATTATGCGTTTTTGTTGTAAGCTGCTGTGGGTTCGTTGTGGCTGAAATTGGCAAAATACACAGTTGTTTCTATCTAGCTAAGACGATTTTTCAGGCTCTTTACAACACAGAAAGTTCTAAATTTGCAGACTGCAGCTTGCTATTTATTGAATTTGTACTGCCAGATTGCTTTTGGTCAGGACCTGAGGTCACATGTCGGGGCAATAAAAAAGATTTAAAATCTAATTATGAAAGATTTCTCCCGCACTGCTGAACTAATTTCAATAATTTGGAGACTTCTACCATGACACAGTTTGGATCTATGCTAAAATTTCAGCTTTCTAGCTTCTGTAGTACCGGAACTGGAATATGTGGTAGAGAAGTAGGCACGAAAATGATCAAGTCTTTATGCGTTTTCACAGGATCAGCAGTCAAAAAACGCAGTGAAGAGTAATGGCGTACAAGGATGGACACGAGAAGATCAGATACGGCGAGCGAAACCAGAAACAAATTTTCCTGCTGACGTCGCAATTTGCGATCGCAAAGGACTGCGGCACAGAGCAAAATGTTGCCACCCAGCGCAATTAGTATAATTACCGCATAAACCAGTAGCAGAACAATTGTTAGTGGCGGCATTTTCACTGTATCAACAAGTAACGTCGCCTCATATTCGCATAGAAATTTCATCAAGCGTTTAAACCATTGAAAAAAGACAGCTTTAATTGTCTTGGAATCTGAAAAATAAAATTGTAAAAGTATTTTAACAGTATAAGTGGTCTTCTTTTTTCAGTTTAACATGAGGACTTGTGTTGGCAGCTTATCCTTCCAGTTAATGCCTTTCCCTCCCAAGTACAAGAAGGGTCTTGTACTTGAGAGGGAAAAAATATCAACTGGAACGATAGTGCTGCAAAGTAGAGCCTTGTAAAATTTCAGCTTTCTAACATTCATGATTACTGCGTGGAAGTGGGGGAGGAGAGGAGTGGAGGAGAGAGGGACGCCGATACTGAATTTTAATTTGGATGACCGAACATGATCCGGGACAGATTCTTGTAAAATTTCAGCCTCCTAGCTTTTCTGTTTGCTGGATTTGAGGTGGGAGACAACAACCAAACACACAATACATACAAAAACACAAACAATCTTTCGATAATACGCGTTTTCGCACTGCATCAATTATGCAAAAAAGCTTGACAACTGACATCGTTTGGTGATTGCGCCAGTACCAGAAAGTGAAATAATAACCCCGCTTTAGCCTGGCACCAGGCAATGGCCTTCCAGGAAAAACATCTGTGCTTGTTACTGCGTGCAAAAAAGTAGGGAAGTAGGCGTACTGCGGAAGAGAAAAGGGAGTGATGCTCAGAAAACATAAAAGAATTGTGATTTGATTGCCTGAGAGATTCAAGGCGTTCGACTTGATTGACTCAGCTTAAACGGATGGCTGACTACCACTGTTTCGACTGTTTATTCAGTTCAGTACTACTCAATCAGCCCCGATTTTTCGTGTTCTCGACTCCTAGGGCGCATTAATTTCTCAGGGCAATGAAATAATTCCGATCAGCCCCGATTTTCCGAGTGCTGAACTACGGTTATCAGGCCTGCATATTGTTTTGGATAAATAATTTGGAAAACACTGAGTTTTGAAAGATCCATCAGTGCGCTAGGTGGGCAATTTGGTAACGACAAATTAAATTATCAAAGGAAGTTGCAGCAGAGTAGAGCACGGAGCGGGTTGACTTAGAAAGCAAAATTATGAGGACTTTTAGAATTCACTGCAACCTCTAATACCTTCAGAACTCCGGGATTGAAGTTTTATGCCGATATTTTGGTCACTGTAGGCTTATCTAAACTATCAGAGACAATGGCATCGTTTTCTATGTGCATTTACAGTAATTTTTATGCGTTTTTTGCAGCAATGCAATGCGAAAAACGCATATTGATGAGAGGTTG